CTCTACAATTGCAAATTCTTTGTGAAACCAAAAATCTTGATTTAGAAATCATTCTATATGTATGACAGTAGAGCAAATAATTCAGTAGAGCCTTTGTCCCAGAACATAGTCTAACAACAGCTATGTCTTGCTGAAGTCAGCAAGACTTTGCAGACATCTGTTGTGGGACTGGGTCTAAGACAGCAGTAAACCCAAATGTCTCTGAAAGAATGTTACAGAAATAACTGACTGCATTTGGAAGAGCCTACAGTTAGTGAGTTTCATTGCACTCTTCTCCTTTCCTGCATGTTCTCTCTGCCTTCTCCAAACAACAAAAATATCAGAAGACCCAGTAAAAACCTTCCCAAATACTTTACTCTTCTTCCTTTTTAACAAATTTAATTTCTAATGTTTGCAGGTGGTAACTCAGCTGCCAAGGGGCACCTGCCATTGCAGCCTGGTTGTTGCTGGGGCACCTATTCTGCCAGGCTCCAGGCTTGGTCCTGCCAGGGCTTTCTGCAGTGCTCACATTGCAAAGGCAGCACATGATGCCTGTTTCTAATGACCTCTTCCTCCTGGCCTGGGTTAGCTTTTTAGCTTTGTTAAGGAGGTGGCACAGTGTACTGAGGAGCACTGGTGAGGGGCTGAGCTTCAGAAGTGGGTAGTGTCCTGTCTTACAGATAACAAATTCTTTCCGTCAGTTTTGTGTTTGTGTGTGTGTTTTGCCAGTGATTATAAATTATTGCCCATGTGAGAGCATCTTCAGTCCTGAAGGATCTCAAGGTCTCCATAAAACAGTTAACACATATGTCTGCAGAAATTCAGCTAAGCTAAGATGCTCCAAAATCATTCTCCTAAAGCCCCCATAAAAACAGGTTCTCAGTTTTTCAAGTCTGACTCAAACATGAAGGTGGAATTAAAAATTTACAGGCACTGCATTGCCTTTGCAAAGCTGGGGAAAAAGCAGAAGGAGTCGCTTGTTGTGTGTGCTTAAAAACAAGGAAAACTTGTCGATATTTTTCATTTGAATTTTCATGAAGAGCTAAGAAACTCTGCTGATGCTGGAGGAGGCAGGAAAATGCGGTGACTTTTACCGACAGAGAAATATTTGAACGGTTATTGACAAAGAGCACAGTGCATGGAATGTGCTTGGGCTAAGCAGAGTGAAGATGTTTGACGTATTGGCAATACAGCACAGGGTCAGGGGGTGACAGATTAATGTTGTGTTTCACAGTCAAGCGAATACTCACTGCGTGCCTTCGTGTGCTCTTTGTTATTGCACACGTTGGGAAGGACAAACTGGTTCTGGGTTAGTTAAACCTGTGCACCGACTCTAGCAATGAAAATGGCTTATTTGGGTTTAATCAATTAGGCACAGGTGTAAAGTAAATCTAAATAAGCTATTCTTAGACTAAATTGAGAGTGTCATGCAGGAGTTCGCACTATTTTAATTAAAATCAATTGAATTTCTTATCAGAACTCAGAGCAACGGTGCGTGCAGGAAGGAAGGAGTCATTCCCAGCTCAGTGATTCACAGCATCCGTGACCACTGAGACCTGACCAGGAGCGCACGTCACAGCCAGCCCCACAGCTTTGGGTTTGCCTGGAAAATCTTGAGGCGGGAGGAAGAGATCATTAGAAAAAAAAAACAACCTAGGAACCTTGTAAAACCCCACCTCTTGGCTTGATGATCTCTTTGGCTGGCTGTTTCTGGCCAGCTCCCTGGAACAAGTAACAGAAACACTCCAATTCCAGCAGCAGAGACCAAGAGCTAGTGGATACTTTTCAGCCCCACAGATACTTTTAAAGAATGGGAGGTAAAGGAATGAAATGGAAAACAGATGATAAACAGAGGCTGGCGAGAATAGAAGGAATGCGGAGCAGGCAGCCCATTTGTCTCGAGTAGCTGACACGCATGCCCGTGGAAATGGCCAAGCCTGTTGGCAGCAGTGGCTTAAAATAATGGAATAGTAATGCCTGTCTTCTGGAAGGTGCTGAGCACTTTGGCTTTGCTGCACTGCTGCACTTTGTAGAACTGAGCTCCCACTAATATGCATTTCGCATAGCTGTGCAGCCAAGGACAAGCGTAGTCCAGGGCAGAAGCCTGCATGGGCAGAACCTGCAGAATGCAGAATCGCACATTAGTGCCGGCAGTGAGATAGGCATGTGTGTGAAAAGTGCTCTGGGGGTAGACAAAACAATGCAATCAGAAAGCTCCAGCTGCTCTGATTTCCAAACCCTGTTCTAAGACCTATCAAAGGTCTTGTGGACTCTAAATTGTTTCTTCTCTGAGTTGAATTATGTATAGAGACCTGTACGTATTCGTATGTTTTGTATCCAAAGCTGTTGTTTTCAAGGCAAAGAGCCCTTCCCCATGTTGTACACATTTCAAAGATGAGGAGCCAACAGCAGCAGATCTATGATAGTAAAGTTTCTTTTTGCTTACCCCAGCTCATACGCCTTAACAAGCACTTGCAAATCCCCGATCTAAAGCCTGCAAAAAGCCAGCGTGTGGTGGGAACTGTCAGAGTATTCAGGTATCAGCACACTCACTGGCCTCTTGGTAGCAATGTGATGGCTTTTAACAGAAGTAATGTGGATAGATACTGACTCCTTTTTTGAGGTGCATGCAATTATAAATGTGAGGAAAATGCAGGAAAAGTTAATCCAAGTTCCATTCAAACTGCAAAGCAAAATGAGCAGTATTTGACTACAGATGTCTGACAGCATGATATGGTTGGCTGGCAGAGCTTGGAGGGCTTTGCACGGAAAAGGCATGGCCTTTTCCACCAGTACCACAGTGTTGAGCACCATCTGCTGGGATGGTGCTGTTGAGGGGCTTCAGCCCTCTGTTCTCAAGTGTGATTGCAACCCAACTTCCACTGGAATCACAGGGAGTTCATCAGGAACATCAGTAATGATCACTTCTACATCACTCAGGTGATGTCCCTGCTCCCAGATCCCCTTGGAGAAGGCTGAATGGTGCTTAGCAGCTGACTTCTGTGCTTGCTCTGCCCTGTGTTGTCTGAGCATGCCACTGAGAATTCTCATACATTATACCTTGTTCAAACAGAAACAATTCAAAAAATTGTTAAAAAAAATGTTATTTTGATTCAAAGAAACACAACTGATTTTAGGCAACAAAATTTTGTTTCCTTTCAGGCTTTTGAGAACTTTAGTAATACACATGCAATTTTTTCTTGAAAAAATGAAAGTGAGTTTTTTCCCAGGATCTTTTCTAAAGAGGCCTTGTCCCACTCAGAATTTAGGAAATGTCATCTATTTTCTGAGCCTTGCAGCTGAGGTCAGCCTGTCTGTGATTGCGAGGATCACTCGACTTTGGCACTGTGCTGCTTTTAAGCCTTAGGGCATGCATTTAAATTGTCACATATAGTGTGTCTCATACTGACATCTTCTTCTGTAGAAGTGAAGGATAATACAGCACTTGTGCTGCAGAATAAGACAGTGCTCTCTCCTCAAGCATGAAAATTGTCTGCAAATTTCAGACTTGTTTTCCTTGATTGTGGCTGCTAATCAAGGCAAAAAACAAAGTTCATTTTACCAGGAGATGAACAATGCTTGGCAGTGTAGTGAATGTTAATGCAGTTAATTATTCCCAGTGCTGTGTCTGTCCTCTGAAGAGTTCAATATCTCTAGACAAGGCTTTAATGATCCAGAGCCACCCTGTGACTTCACCCAGGGAGTGTTGCCTCTTCAGGCCTGTTGGTTCCCTTAGTCTGCTCTCTCCCCTGTTTCGTGGCCTATTACATCTGGAGTGGTAGTGTTGGCTGGGGGTGTTAAAATGCCCTTTTGTTTCAGACTTGGTGGTTTTATTGTGCTTTCTGTTGTTCCTGGTTTCTTCATAGTCTCTCTGAATAATAAAGGTTTTGACTTTTGTTGAGTTGGGAACCTAAAAAATCTCTGAGCATTTATCTGCAGGGAAATTGAAAGTAGTGTTCCAGGTCCTCATGGTACTTGGGATCTGTGAAGTCCCTGCAACACATGGTAGTAAAGCAAACCTTAACTAACACATAAACTTGTGGGAATAAATTATCTTGGGTGTTACCTGCTTGATATGCTTCCACTTTAACTTAGTAATCAAAGAGTCATTAAGATTGGAAAAGACCGCTAAGATCATCTAGTTCAACCATCAGCCCATCCTCACCATGCCCACTAACCATGTCCCCTTGTGCCACGTTTACCCTTTCCTTGAACACCTCCAGGGATGGTGACTCCACCACCCCGGGGCAGCCTGTGCCAGTGCATCACCACTCTCTCTGAGAAGAAATTGTTCCTAATATCCAACCTGAACCTCCCCTGTTGCAACTTAAGGCCATTACCTTTTGTCTTACCGCTGTTACCTGGGAAAAGAGGATGATCTCTACCTTTCTACAGCCTCCTATCAGGAAGTTGAAGAGAGCAATAAGGTCTCAGTGATATCTTTCACTGAACTGAGCTTTACTAGACTAACTTAGTCTGCGACTCTGTGTTGTTTGTTAGGGTGGTATGTGTATACATATAAACATCTCTTAATAGTTGAAATAAAAAAAAATATATATTTTTAATAAATTCTATTTCTGATAATTTCATAGAATCATAGAATGGCCTGGGTCAAAAAGGACCTCAAAGACCATCTAGTTGGGTTGCCAACCACCAGACCAGGCTGCCCAGAGCCACATCCAGCCTGGCCTTGAATGCCTGCAGGGATGGGGCATCCACAGCCTCCTTGGGCAACCTGTTCCAGTGCATCACCAGCCTCTGTGTGAATTTGTCATACCAGCTGTATAATTATTTTTCTGTATTTGACAACAATACATTTTTTAAAATTTTTGTTTCTTTCTTTTTTAAGTATGTCAGTTTGGGGACAGAACCTGTGAACTGATGAGACTTGAATGTTTTACCCCGAATACACTCTCCTTGGTATTATTGCCAGAAAGTATTTCTTTACCAGAGCTTATACTAGCCCTTTGTGTCGCTATTTTACAGCTGTGATGTTTTTTGTTGCTTTTGTTTTGAAACAGCCACTGATTTTGGCTGCCTTAACTTGGAAAGATGCTCCCTTGATGCATGTGTGGTCTCCTGATAGCTGGGTGCAATGCTACTGTGGTCTGAAGCTCTGCGTGAGGCATCAAGATGTCGGTGAGTAGAGCCTCAATGCTGAGGATACATTACATTGCAGAAAGACAGGTGAGCTTGGGTGTCTGATCCTGCATCTGCAAAATAAACTGTTCAGTATTCTATTCAACTCCAAAACACCAATTAGTAAATGGATGTTTTCTTTTGGTTATCCTGAACTGAACCAGAAACTTGTTCCTGCAATCCTACTGATGTATCTGGGAGTCCTGGTAGAGCAGTGACTCAAGAAGTGAACCCTCTGTGTTGAGGCTTCCATGGGAACACTCTGACCTTACAAGAATTGCATTCTATTATATTTTAAAGATTTTTTGGAATTATTCTGGTAAAAATTATGGATTAAAAAAAAAAAAATTCAGACATTGCAGAGATGTTTTTTTAAAAAAAAATTATCATACAAAACTTTAAAGTAAAAAATATGTTCTCCTCAGCAAGAAATCATCGTTAAAAATTAGAAGTGAATTATTTATGGAAGAAATTAGGCAACATACAGCGTGCATGGTTTCTGTTAAGAGCAGGAGATAAAAAAGCTTCCAGATCTTAAAGTTATGATTATTTTATTTCTATTTTTCTTACAGGATTCTTGACATATGTACTGTTAATTGGGCAGTAATGATTTTCTTTCATTTGCACTGCAAATTACACCCATAATTATACTTTTATTCACAGAATATATTTTGTTAACTGACCTTGAGTTTAGCGTAGAATACAAAATGAGATAGAATTGTTCCAGAAGAAAGAAAAGTTCCAGCTGACACTTTGAGATTCCTAGGGAAATCTACTTTTGTTAAGTTTTGAATTTTAATTTTCGAGACACCAACAAAGATATACAACAGAAAGGTTTTAAGTAAGTGTATTACTTTGACAGGAGTCACCGGGTTCTACAATTAATTCTCACCAGTAGATCAATGCACTTCATAAGCTGCAAGTCATTCTGACAAGATGAAACAAATACAGTCGTTAGTGAAATCCTCAAAATTCAGAACAGTGGGCTGTGAAACTAGGTCAGTTTACATCTTCTTTGAAATATCTTTCCCCTCCATAGTATTTCATACTTGACTAATCTTAATAATGCACTTGACATCTTTGGTGACTGATCATATGCTAATTTAAAACCCATATTGTATGCATAAATTCAGACCAACATGGGGAGATGTTTCAGTATGATGGTGAAAAAGAAATAACAATTGAATTTGTTTCTGTTAAATATACTTTTTTCTTTTCTAACCTGAAAAATGTAAAGAAAGTCTAACTGTTGTTTGGAGGTAGGTATTTTAATGATTTAGAACTTTTTTCTTGTCCCAGCAAAATGCTCTTCTTGATTTTTTAGGGCAAGTAACTTGGAAGATTAAGATCTTTATTTAGAGCTATTTTGCCCATTCACTACAGGTAATTGCTGGGAATGCTTCTCTCAGGGATGTCTATTGTAAATTGTTGGCCCCAGTCCTGCTCATATTAATGTCAGTGGTAAAACTATTGTTGACTTCAGGAAGAGAATGGGAAGTCCCATTATCTTCATGTGTTGCTATTTAGACTTTATGGTATTTTTTGGAGAGTATTTTCAAGTATTTTTTACTCAGTTTTGTAAAGCTTACATAAAACTGCCATGCTTGTCATTATATATTGCCTATTTTTCTCTGTCCTTATTGCTTCTTGAGCATAAATTTCAGAGGTAAAGAAAATACATATGAAGTCTTATTGTGGCGGAAGATTGCTGACAATTAATGGTATGCTGTGAACATCAGGAAATTGTGGGTGCTTTCCCTACCCTGGTTAAAGAAGGCAGCTAGTTCTGTACCTCCCTCAGATGTTTGTCTCTCTTCTCTTTTTTTCTTTCTGTTTTTTAAGGTGTGAATTTGGTGATTATTTGTTAGTCTGGCTGCTGTGAGTAATAATAATGAGATAAAGTACCTGAAATGTATATTTAATAAGTGATAAATAATATATAAGTAATAAATAATGTATAAATAAAATATTTGGAGGGTTTGGGACTTCAGTTCCCGTCTTACGTTAGCCTCTGTTTTACAATTAGTAATAACCACTTTGGGGGATAGAAAAAAGTTTATGTTTAGGAAGTACTGCCTTTTGAAGAAGAAACTTAATGGCACTTTATTTTTGTAATGAGTCCAACAAGTCAAACCGGTAGGACTTGAATTAAGTTCTTAACTTGACTTCTTAGAGGTGCTGGGATCTGTCTCCTTGCCCCATATCTGAATCTGCAAAACACTTGTCTGCTTGTTTAAAACCCAATCTAAACAAAGCAGCACAGGGAATAAAGTCAAGCTGAGAACTATGGACTCGGCATTGAACTCATCTTTTCCTGCTTTCTCTTGATGTGTTTCCATGTGGCATAAAAAAGCACCTAAGAGACAAAATAAGGATAAATCTAGTGTGATGTAGCAATATTTATTGTCCTTTATAACACAACAGGAAGTCTGCAACTGCTCAGAGGCAGGTTTCCAGATCATGCTATTTTTGATAGGTTTACAGTCCAGAGAGACCACAAACGGTCCAGCTCAGTAGGTTATGGGCTTTCCAGAATAATTTTATCCTATAGAGATTGTATGGGGCAATGTTAGCAGTCATGAATATCCTTGACAGTGCCTTAGTAGGGACAGGGTACAATATAGTCTGAATTGGAAATAGTAGTAAATAACATACTAACTTGGAATTTTCTTGTGTTGTGATAATATGTTTGCACCCTGATCGTATCCCCTAGTGTAGATTTGCTTACGTTCACGTACAAAATTTTAGTGACTCTTCTGGGGCTTTGGGTAGGTAGGAACCTACTGTCCATGTAAAAATCCAATTCTTTAACAAAATACAATTTCAAACTAGCAACTATTCCTGACAGTGTCTCTGCTTAGGATATTAGCTGCAAATGATAATAATAGATTATAACTAAACTGCTGTGAAATCAAGAGAAAAACACTTAGTTCTGCTGCTGAAAACTGTTCTTGTTTGTGCTTGCGTGTCTTTTGTTGAGAAAGAGAATTTGCTAAGCATGTAATTTTGGCCTTAAAATTTTTACTGCAGTGTTAATACATCTTCTCACTGCTCCACTGTATTGCACAGTGCATTGGCCCACATCATCACCAAACGTTTTTGTTGTAGCCGAAGATATGTGTGCACTGAGTGTAGAAGTGTCGTCAGCTATGGTTTTGCACAAACCCAGGTGCTGTGCTGTATTTGCAGATGTAATAACAAAAGCAGAGGAGAAAATGAAAGTCTTTGAAATGTGAATGGGTTTCTTTGAGTATCATTGTCCTTTCTGCCACTAAACTTCAGCGAGGCACAGATGTGTGGGGCAGGGGGGCTGCTCTGTGATGACTTATATGGAGGGTTTCTTTTGGCAGTCTCAGAAAAATGATGATGTGAATAAAGGGAACTTGTTTAGTTCAGATGAAGTCTCTATTAATGAGCCCTATTATTCCTATTTTTGGAAAGTGCTAGATTTTTTTTTCAAATATATACAATGCTGTATTATTTTTGATTACAGCAGCATTCACTGATCACTTTTATCTTTGTGTGTGAGAATTTCTAATTATACATGTTAGACGAGTGATCTTTACTGTAAATAGTAATGTGATTTCCTTTCACTTGATCTGTCTGAAGTAGATTCTGTTTCATTGTTCACTTTCTTCATCACAGTATCTTGCCTATTTTATCTTTCAACGGATATTTCTTCAAATCCTCTCGCCTGTTCTTCCCCTCCCCCTTGTACCTTTTTGAAAAGAGCTTTATCTGAGCAGGCAGTTTCATTTGTCTTTTGATCTATTTTTTGATGGATATGTATTCACTTCTGGTAGCCAGCCCCATACTGAAATCCACATTCAAAGCTGAAGTGTGGGGACCCGGCTGAGACTTCTAGGTAAGACCCATACCTAAGATTTGCTAGAGCTACTGGGGAGCCTGGGGACCAGAGATGTTGGTTGTCTTACTGTGAGGCTTGCAAAACTTTTGCAAGGATATTAGTAGTTTCTAAACTTTTGGTTGATTCCTGTGGAGAGCTGAACAGTGGTAGCTTAGGTAGCTAGCTGCCAGCTATTTCTGAAAACCCAGAGCTTCCACCCTTCAGGTGAGCGCTGCCTTGCTCCAGCATACACCTCACGGCATCGCATCTCTGCCTGTGCTGCGGCAGGGTTAGTCTGCATGCAAGAGCCAAGGGCACTGCGTACCTTCTGATGGTCCTGCTGGGCCTCATTATTGAACTTTTTCTACCATGTCCTTACTGAGGTCTTCTTACAGAGCAGAGAATGTGAGCAGAGAAGGCAGAGACTGGCCCATAAACGTGAATCGAAAGCTTTGTAAACCCAGGTGGTACTGACACCAGCACTGGGAGAGGGGAGAGAAACTCTGAAAGCAGAAACAGCAATCACTTGCCTACCTCAAGAAGATCAATAGGAAAAGCTAGAAATTCCTCCCTGCAACTCTAAACCAAAATAAAAATAATTTTTAAAAAATGACTACAGTGAATGGAAAGTCAGGGGGTCATTTTCTTCAGACTATTTTTCTGTAGATCCTCAGCTGCTGCAAAATCAAAGTCAGTCCAGTTCTCCTATACAAATGTGAGTGACTTAAGCCCACCATTTGTATGTTAAACAACTTGTTTAATATAGTATTAGCATTCAGATAGTCACAATGAGGCTTTGAGGTTAACATCCCATTAAGATGAATGGGAGATGTTCATACCTCAGGCTGTAGATTCAACAAGACAGCAGAGCATTGATTTACATAGCGAAGGCTATATCTTGGCAAACCAGAAGGGCTGCAGACATCATTTTTTCTAAAGGGAAGCTTCAGTTCCAGTGAGCACATTACAGTCTGCAAAAGGCCCCAGATCAGCAGAGTGCCGGAGCTGGATAGCCGCTGGCTGTAACTTTAAACTGAAAGACATCAAATGGGTTTTTTGCTGTTAAAATTGAGATCCCAGCCAGGTGCTGATGTGCTCTCCATTCCTGTCTTGAGACTCCCTTTTCTTCCTCTCACCCACTTTCTCCCAGAAC